CCGCGCCACCGCCCCCCCCCCCCCCCCCCCCCCCACCACTGACACTCGCCGCCCCCCCTCCCTCCTTTCCAGCGCGGCCTCATCGCCGACCCCGCCACCGGCGGCCGCGCGCACTTCCACGTGTCGCTCCTGCTGGCCGATGACCATGCCCGGACCACGGCCGGGCACTTCGAGCCGGGCTTCACGCACGTGCAGCTGGACCCCGAGCCGGGTGGTCCCGCTGGGGGTGGCCTTCGAGGCCGGGCCCCATGCCGAGGCCTTCGCCCGGGCGGACACCCTGCGGCTGCTTGCCCCGCTGGCCGACCCGCAAGAGGCCCGGCAGTGGCCGCTGCTGGACCCGGCCCGGCCGGGCCGGGCCATCCGCCTGACGTGCGTGCGCCCGACCCCCCTCCCGCCTGGCCCGCCCCGGCCCCGGGCCATGTACTGACGCGTGGGGCCTGCCCGGGTGCGTTTCGGTCGGACAGCATCCCGGGACCGGACTGCATGCATGTGTGCGACCAGTGCCCGGCCGTGCGGTTTGCCCGGACCTCCGTGTCCCGGGACTGCTGGACCCACTTCGAGGAGCCGGAATTCTCGCTGATGCCCCTGTGCGACCGGCACCCGGGCCCGGCGCCGCGGCCCTGGAGCCCGCCGGCCTGCGGCGCCTGCTCATCTGGCGGCCCGCCCCCGGGGCCGGGCCTGCCCCGGGCATGGTCACGCCCCTCACCCTGGAAGAGGCCCCCCGGGCCGACAGGGTGCGACCGCCGGGCCAGCCTGCGCCCTGCCTGACATATGGCCCCGCACCCCCCCTGCCCCGCCGCCGCAGGGCTTCCGGCCGGCTGACATCCGCCACACACACACATGCACTTGCGCCCGGCCTGCCGGGGCGGCAAAAAAAAAATACAAAGCAGACACCGCCCCCCGCCGGGGACGACCTCGCCCGGGCCCTGGGCACCGGCGCCGTGCCGGGCCTGCAGCTCCTCCGCCTTCCTCCCGGGCCTCGGCCCATGGCCGGCATAGTGTACGCCCGGGCCCCCCCCCCTCCGGCCGCTCGTCGGCAATCGTCCTCTAACCATGCGGCTGGCTGGCCGGCCGTCGCACGCAGGATCGACGTGCTGTGCATCATGCTCGATGCCCCGGGGCCCGGCGCCTACGTGGACATGGTCCGCCTGGTGCACCGGGCCCTGCGGAAGCAGGCCCCGCTGGCCCGGCCAAAGGTACCCCCCTCGACCCGGCTGGGCGGGCCCGTGCCGAGGGCACACAGACACACGCACGCGCGCGCGCGCGCGCGGCCCGGCGGTACATCGCGACGGGCCCGCGAATCGGGCATGACGGGGGGGGGGGACGGCACGGGCAAAGGTGGCGGAGCTTTGCCGCGCGGCCGGCATCCCGGCCACCGGGGCGCTGCTGGTCGGCCGAGCCGGCCGGCCGCTCGAGGTCGGCCGCCTGCACCCCCGCCGAAGCCGGGTCTTCTTCTACTTCGAGGGCAGCCAAATGGCCGGGCACCCGGACATCGTGTGGATCGACGCCGGGGCCGGGCCGGCCGGGCGGCACTTCTTCCTGCGGCTCTTGCTCGGCCCCGCCCCCGGGCGAGGGAGCCCCCTGCAGATGCTGGTCCCGGGGCCCGTGCGCCGGGCCCTGCTCGAAAAGGCCCACTTGCCGGACGACCCGGCCGCGGCCGGCCCAGCGGCGCCGCTCCCGCTGGGGGCCGGGGTCTTCCTCCGGCCGGCGCCACTGGCCGGCCACCTTCGCGCCCCTGCCGGCCCACCTGCAGGGCGTCAATGTGGCGTTGGAGTGCGTGCGCAAGCCCTGCGCCCTCCGCCCTCCGCCCTCCGCCCTCCGCCCTCCGCCCTCCGCCCCCGCCCCCCCAGCATGCCGCCCTGTGCGGCGGCCGGGCATTCATCCGGCGCTGTGCCCCGGGGCGCCGGCGCTGCGGGCCGAGCCAGCGGTCGGTCCTCGACCGGCCGAGCGCCGTGCTGCTGTGCACCCGGGCCGCGCACCGGGCCTCCCAGCTCCGGAATGCCCGGAAGCCGGGGGGGGACCTCGCCCCGGCGGGCACCCCCCGGCAGGGGGTCGCCCTCATGTCGCCGGACGCCGTGTGCCTGAGCCCCACGCACGGCCATGTCCGGCGCATGGTCCCCCGGGCCGGGGGGCCAGGCCGCCGCACCGGGCCCCCGGCCATCCGCCACCTGGAGCTGGCCCTCACCGAGGTGGACCCCGCCATCACCCACTGCCAGGCCAGCTTCCTGGAATTCCGCCTCCGACACATGCTCCATGCCTACCTGTCGGGGATCCCCATTCACCGGCCGGCCGTACGTGTCCCTGTGCTTCATGGCCCCGGCCTCCGGCGGCGGCCTTCCCCCTCGGGCGCATTCTAACCCACCCCATCTGGGGCGCCCCCTCCCCCCTCCCCCCGGCCGGCCGCGGGGCGCCTGCCGGTGTCGGCCGCAGGAATACATCCATCTCGGGCTCCGGGCGCGCGTCGTCGCCATGGCCGATGACCAGGGCCGCGACCTCCGGTCGGGGGTCTTCGTCGGCGCCATGGACCAGCTGGCGCCGGCCGACTGCCGGCCCGCCGGCCGACTGCCGGCCCGACGGTGGTCTCCTTCTGCTGGCCCTCCGGCCGGCGGACTCCCCCCGGCAGCCCGGCGCGGACCTATCGCAATCGCCCGGCCGGGGTGGCTCCCTGGTAGCAGGGGGCAACACCCCGCCGCCGCCCGGCACCCCTTCCTGGGCCACGCCCATCTGCCTGGAGGGGGGCGGGGGGGGCTCGCCAGGCCCGGGTCCGGGCGTGGAGCCGGCCGGCCTGCGCACGCCTCCCTTTTTTTCCTCCCTCCCCCCCCCGCCCCTCGGCCTCTACGCGGGCCCCGGGGAGATGGCGCGCGAGGCCGGCGTTCGTGCATTCGAACCGGCACCCCGAGCGCCCGCCGGGCGGAAGGGCCAGCAAGGGCCGCCGGCGAGATGAGGCACGCATCTTGAGGCCACTTGCCGCCCATCGGACACCGTGGAGTCGAGCGTGTGTGTGAGGCGGAGGGCGGAGCGGTCCGCGTCGCCGGGGGGCAGCGCGGCCATCCTGTGGCAGCGATCGCCGGCGTGCGGGCCGACCCGGTGACATACGGCGCACATCGATGGCCTCCCCGCCGGGAGACAAGCTCCGGGGGGGGGGGAGGGGGGGGGGGGCCGCCGCAGCAGCCCGAACCACAAGGGCACGCCCGATGCAATGGACGAGAGCCACCTGCCGGGGGGCCAAAAAAACAAACCCGCCTCAGAGCGTGCCGGGTCCACGGCTGCTGCTGCTGCTGCCCTGGGGGACAGAGAGAGAGACAGGAGGGAGGCGCTGGGGCCGAAGGCCGGAGGCCCGAGAATGAGCGCAAGGAAGACCAGCGGAGGGGGGACGGGAAAGGCCGGCGAGAGCAGGGGGGCACGAGCGCGGGGGGGGGGCGTCAGAAAGGATGGTGTGTTCCCGGCCGAGGGATGCAGGCCGGCCATCGCTGCCCCGGGCGGCGGAACAGTGTGTCCCGCCCCTGCGTCGCCCGATCGGGCCGGCGCCAGCATATACCAACGGATCGCCCGGAGGGCGCGTATGGCGGGCTGGCCTCTGGTGGTGCTCTGTGGGCGGCGAATAAATAAGGTGCTTTATTTGCATTTCGCGGCCTCCATTCGGGGTGTCCCCGCTCGTCGGACCCCGGCCGGCGCCGGCACACGTCCTGGGGCGCCGGCACCGGCCGCGGCCCGATCGCCGGCCCGCAAAATGCCCCTCGTTCTTATGTCGCACGCACACCGATCTGCTCAGACAAGCCTGTTTAGCTCAGTTGGTAGAGCATGGGACTCTTAATCCCAGGGTCGTGGGTTCGAGCCCCACAGTGGGCTTCTCTGTTCTCCTTTTGCCCCCGGCACCGGCGCCCCTCCGATCTCCCCCCCCCCTCCCTCGCGGCCGGACACCGAAGCCGGCCCGCCGACCGATCGGGCCCCGGGATGGGCGCGCGTGCTTTGGCACCCGCAGAGGCCGGGCGGTGGTCCTCCCCGGCCGGCCACCCACCGGCGCCCGGCCCGTAGTCCGTACATGCGCGCGTGCGGCCGCGGGGGGCGCGCACAATATCAGGCCGACCGCCAGCACGAAGGGCCACGCCGGGCGCGGCCGCGACCGGCATGCCCCAGGGAGGACGGCCCGGCCCCGATCCTCGCGCCTCCCCGCCTTGGTGGTGGCCCGCCGGCATCGAGCCATGACGCCAAGTGCGGGGCATTCGCAAGGCCCCCCCCCCCCCCTCCTGGAGCCAAGGGCTTCGCCGCCACCACCGACCGCCAGACACACGGCGGCAGGGGAAGAAAGGGCCCCTTGCCGAGGGGCAGCTCCGCAGCGCCCGAGCGCCGGTGCCCCCGCCTGCCTCTCGCCCCCGGCCTCTCTTTGGGTCCCATGGCCACCCCCAGGCGGGTCAGCCTGTCACAGGCAAGCCACCGACCCCGGGCCGGGCAAAGCAGCATGCACATCCCGCACACATGACAGCCCCGGTGTGCCCCCCCGGTGGGTTGTCTCTTCCTCCCGGGGCCCGGCGAGGCGGGCCGCGCATGCACCGATGCTCGCCGCCCGGGCCCGGGCCCGGGCCGGCCTATCGAGCGTACCCCGAGAGGGGCGTGGGTGTGGGTGTGGGTGTGGGTGTGCATCCGACGGCCTCGCCGCAGCCCGTGCTGGTCACCGGACGGGCCGGGCCCGCGCGAAGGCAAGCCAACCATCGGGTGAAGCATGGACCTGCCTGCGCCTCGATGCCGCGACCGGCTGACACCCTCGCGCAGCCTCGCCCGCACGCCGTAGGCAGCACAGGAGGGCGACCACCGGGGGGGGGGGGGGGGGGGCGCGCGCGCGCACGTGCGCAGCCGCGAAGGCGGACACGCCCCTCCGGCCTACGGAAGCACGCCCGCATCGGCCCCTGGAGGGCCTGGGAAAACC